CCCCCGCACCCACTCTCCCCTCGTCTGCTGGATTATATTGTGGCATAAAATTAATTTCTGCCCCAATGATTGTGCCACAGTTGCCAAGGTAACCGTGGAGCTGGAGCTAACTCCCTTCTCTCACCCTTCCCAAGTTTTCTATTTCACTAGGCAGAATAACGTAGTCTGTGCTACATCCTGCCTTTTGAAACCTAAATGAGTTTTGGTTGAAGAAATATTGCCTTCTCTGATTCATTCATGAAACTGTGGTGGCCCTGACGGCCTGTGACTAGGTAGCAATAATACTTCGTGATCATTTGAATTGGACAAAATAGCAGGTGGTGGAGGGAAGTAGATAAGAATGTATTAGCTCATTTTAATGTAATACTGATTAAAGAATAACTAAACAACTCTGATTTCGTTTCCTTATACGTAATGTATTAAAAGCCATGTGTGGCTGCCTCAAGAACCTCGAACGCATGAAATCATTCTTTGTCCAAACTTAGAAAGGGTTGACTGTCTGGGCACATGGCATCGGCGCTGACCTAACCCAGCAAACCAACTCTTGCCTCGTATCTCGTCCAAGTTGTCTCATGGAATCCAAATGCTTCTACCTCTCTCCATATTGTTGCGCTTTGGTCAACAGCAAACACCCCTCCCCTCTCCTTGTTTTTGAGAGGACAAGATAGGCAGAGGTTTTTCTCAGCATCACTTTTGGCGGAAAGAATATCTGACTGTCCTAAGGATCCAGAGAACAGAAATAAGAGCCGCTGCCATACGCAGTAAGTACCACGTGGAATGCTGAGCTGTGGGACACAGAAGGAACGCATGGAGCCCGTGCCCTGGGGGGATCTTGGAAGCGCTGCACCATGGAAAACCACAGGAGTTTTGCGTAAAAGATTGACGTTTTTCCTGCATTTCAATAATGTCTAATCAAGTAGGATGCTGGACTTGGAAGACATTTGTTATTAATTCTTTTTAAGGTTATTTTCTATTAACTGTTTGTGCGTATGACATTTCCACTCAATTTTAGGAATCCAAATATTTTTTTAACTTCTTGAAATAATTTACTCCTGGTTATATTGCTAATTGCACTAATCAACTCTTCTAGCATAAATTCTGGCACACTACTCTTTTTTTTTTTAATTACAGAGTATTTCTATTCCCACAGAACTTTGTTTGGCAAATTCTAATGGAAATCATGACAGGCGTTTTTACCTCTTTGGCCTGACTATATCATAATACATCTCATTGTAAATGGAGGATCTGAGCTCCGGGAGCCCCACAGGCATTTCGATTCTCTGATCTGAGACTGACACCTCACTTCTTCCTCTTAACTTGGCTGGCTTTCCTTTATTTTAGTTGAGTTATACATGTATCCACTATTATTTTCTTTTGAGAAATTTCATAAAGGAAAGGTTACAATGAACATCTATATGCACTTTGCTTATGTGTATAAATAGTTCACATTTTAAAAATAGTTAACCTTTACCATATTTTCTTTCTCTCTCTGTAAATATACATTCTTATTGCGGAACCATTTCATAATATGTTGCAGACATCATAAAACTTAAAAACTTTAAAATAGCAAAAAGCTATAAAATACTTTAAAACATTTTATAACTTAAAAAAAAATCCAGGATCCAATTAAGAATCACATTGTATTTAGTTGTCATTCCCTTCAGTTAATGGATTAGAGTGTCTCTCTCTCTCTCTCTCTCTCTCTCTCTCTCTCTCTCTCTCTCGTCTTTCATTAAAAAGTTCAGGCTGGTTTGTAAAAGGTCCCACAATCTCGAATGTTTTTCTGATTCTTTCCTCATTATTATATTCAGGTTAAACATTTTTAGCAAGAATACTACATAGGTGATGTTGCATCGCATCAGGAAGCTTATAATGTCTAGTAGTCTTTTTATGATGTTAGGCTTGATCAGTGGGTTCAGGTGTCATCAGCCTGATCCATTCGTTATAATGCTCCATAATTCATTATGGAGCTCTGAAACTCAGTGCATTTCATAGAGTACGAGACTGTGTGTACATGCATTCCTTCCTTAATATTCTCAAGGAGGTCCAGGATTTCCAAAGGAGATGTTAGAAGATGTAGCAGTGACAAAGAATTCATCTCTTTCAGTGGAACAGAGGGAAGGGGAAGCCAGCAGGCTCCCTGTAAAGGCAATGCATAAGTATGCTGGCTAATGAGAATTTGTGCAGTCCCTGTAGCCAGATTTGGAACAGATATACCTTATTTTTCTCTCCCATTCTCTGTGACCTCCCATTCAGACCCATGGTTTATTTTAGAGAGCACGCATTTTCATTGAAGCTGGTTGCCCAAGAGCACAAAAATTGATTGCAGTGGAGAGTGGGACCTTAGATATTAATGAGTCATGGCCCTCCAAAGGGACACAGTACATAGATATGAAGAACATACATGGTATTAAAATTTCACAGGGATAGGGTAATGATTAGAAATAAAATGTCTAAAAAGTCTCCTTAGGAGGATGACAATGAAAAGGAAATAGGTTGAAAACTATTCTATGTAAAGTCATTTTCTGATTCCAGTGTCATTGATTTTCTCTTCCTGGGTTATTTTCTCATTTCTGAGGGTCAGGATGAATGGAAGCAACTTTGAGAGATTTCTTTCTTTTTTGGGGAGAGGGAGGAATTGGAGGAGGGGGACAGTGTTGGGGAGTTGGGGAAGGGGACCAGCCGAGTTATTGTTCTTCAATCTTCGTTGTGAAGGGCGCCAGTCGCCATCTCGCCCATCGGCAGCTCGTGGCCTCTAAGCTCAAGGTGCTGAGTTCAATCTTAGTTGCGGGTGGGAGTAGCCACCATTCCATGCAGAAGTCGAACCAGCAGCCTTGTTGTTAAGAGTACACGCTCTATCCTCTGAGCCATCCGGGTGGCAGCTCAGCTCAAGGTGCCGAGTTCAGTCTTAATTGCGGGCGGGCGTAGCCCACCATCGAACTGGCAGTCTTGTTGTTAGGAGCATGTGCTCTCACCAGCTGAGCCATCCTGCCACCTGTTGGCAGCTCAGCAGCAGCTCAGCTCGGGCACAGCGTCACCGGCCCATGTGGGAAGCGAACCAGTGGCCCTGTTGCTCAGAGCTCACGCTCTTAAGCTAACTCTTAACCAAATGAGCCACTCGGCCGCGAGCTCTCTTAATCCATTCCTTTTACTCTCCCAAAACATGTCAGTAACATTCCAGATGCAAAATTGATTCTCTCAAAGATCTTCAGGCATTGAAATTCTATAGTGTCATTTAGAATAACTGGCTGACACTTTACAACATCTCAAATCCTTCCATTAACTAGAGCCAAACTATTATCTTTAAATTTCAGCTCACCTTTCTTAGAGTCCCACAGTAAGAAAGATCCGGGGGCTGGCCGAGTGGCTCAGTTGGTTAAGAGCGTGAGCTCTGAGCAACAGGGTCGCTGGTTCAATTTCCACATGGGCCAGTGAGCTGCGACCAAGCTGAGCTGCCNAAGTGATGTTGATGTGAGCGTGTGCAGTGATGGGAACCCAGGAAGGTAGCTAATTAACCCTTTCTGGGAGTTGACAGTTGAATCTTGAAGAATGTCAAAAATTTTCCAGGAATAGAGGAGCAGAAAGCATTTTCCAGATAGAAGAAAGTACTAGAAACCTTGACCGGCCATGGTCTATTGGAGACCAGGGAGGAGTCTAGTTGAATACAGCCTGGTGGGTGCGGTGAGGCGGTTGGGGTTCAACAGGAATGAAGGGTCGGGGGAGGTCCCAGTTACGAACAGCCTTGTTTGCCAGGCTGTGGAGTATGGAATTTCTTCCATTGATAGTGGGGAACCAGGGACTTTATAGCATCAATTACTGCCTTATATTAAAGCAAATATTACCAAAGGAGGACAACCAAAACCCGGCTTTACTCTTCTTAAGGATAGATTTTTAAATAAATGTGGTGTTTAAAATAATCTTCATATACAACCCAAATGAACAGTCCTTATGAACATTTCTCAGAAAATTCTCATCACATCTGCAGAAGTCTTTTAAGCACCTTTTGGAGTTCTTTGGTAGCCTACTACTCACTCACTGCATTCGGATGAATCCTGCAATGGCAAACTCATCCTCAAAGAACATCCTGGGTTGGGGTTGTTTAGGCCACTCCCCTCCATCGGAAAGAATGCGTTTGGCCCTGCTAGGGCCTGCGGAGGGAGGGCTTTGATGGGGAGGAAAGCGATGGAACCCGGCTATTGGCCTGTTAAGGCAGTTTTTCTCACAGAACCAGTTGTTTCTTAACTAGCTCGTTTGCGCCACCCAATGGAAAAATGCTAGAATACAGCTTTGAACGCTTTTGACCGTAGATACAACTCAAGTTTCTGATCTACTATTTCAACCATTCTTTTCCTGGAAGAATGTTAGGAGACAGTAAACAGTTTTTCTCCTGAATTTGAGCCTGGATGGTGTGGTGA